GCCGAGTCATGGAATATGATCGCTTGAGCTTCGTGTGCGTGTGGTGTGTGGTGTATGGATTGTACGAGTGTGTGAGCGGAGCAGTTGTGCGTGTGTCAGTGTGAGTGTGTCTTTGTGTATATGGGAGCGGTAGTGTAGCGGGTAGAGCGCTGCGCTACGAACCTGGCGACCTGAGTTCGATTCCCGCTCACGGCCAACACCCAGTGACGATTATCTGAACCGGTCCTGGGCCTCCCCTATGTCGACTCAGCCTCAAATGAGTACCTGGTGTGGTGTAGAAACATCACCACTAGGGAGACAAAGGCGGCCAGGCGTGGTGCTGGCCACCCAGTCTCTTGTGTACCGTGCCGGCCTTCATAGGTGCTCGCTAACAGCACTTGCCCCTAATAGTCTGTTACTGTATAGGCTATATGGGAGATATTTGTCTTTGTATGAGCGTGTGTACATGTGTGTATGCGCGCGTGTGTGTGTTCATGTGTGTGCACGCGCGCGCGCGTGTGTGTTCGTGTGTGCGTGTGTGTGTATGTGTGCACGCATGCGTGTGTGTGCATTTGAACGTGGCGCCTTCCACTCAGTGGGGGTTCATAGCCTAAAATGGCCTGGGGGGGGGGGCAAATAGAGCCCAGTTGGTTAATTTAGTTCGTCACCAGTGAATTGTTAATAAAAACAAACGTGTACATTCATACACTAAGACATTTTCCCAAAATTGAAAAAAAATCGTTACTTAAATGTCGCGAATGTGCAGTGACAGATTAGTTTTTTTGCTTGCACGGAGTGTTCGTAGGCTCATTGAGATTGTTGTGTGTTAGCGTTCTATTTCATCATCTCAACCAGCCACGTTGAATACACTGGTGGGTGAAGGCCTCCCAAAGCCGTCAAGCATCTCTTGTGGTTGCGCCATGTGACAATCCACCGAGCACCTTGCGTACGAGACGACTCCATCGCTCATTGTCCTTGGTTGCTGTTGTTTAGGATGTGTGTCATTGTAACAAATTCGTGAAATGGAACTATTTACTGGCCTTTATCGGCACTGTTGGACTAAGAGCCTCTTCATGCTGTGTCAGATCTGGGGGATTGTTTAACCGTGTTAAATCATCATGCTCGTCAGTTGCGGAATGGTGAAGCCCCAGAGCCTATTCAAATATCACTCACCATTGATGTCAGCCGTAGCTGGATATCAAACTCAGGCGGCCGGGTTTGTAGCGCAGCGTGCGTAGCACTGCGCCACCGCTCACCTTAATGAACGACTGCATTGCTAATTGATATTTTTAATGAGCGAATATATTGTCTGCTGCAAATTGCTTTCTCCGTGACTTTCCCCTGATAAATTGGTGCAGTGCAGCATAGGACATACATCAGTCAGCACAACACTGCCTGGAATATATTTATTCATTTACTATTGTTTCAATACCATATGTTTCGGCATCACTGTGGTTACAGCACTCGCCCTCACAAGCAGAAAGTTGCGAGTTCAATTCTTGCCCTGGGAGTCGACTGATACGATCATCCTTCTTGGGTTAAAAAAACATTAGGTACAGTACCCACTTTGTGGGAAGTCAAATTGGTCCTCATCTTTTGAATGTGGAATTTGAATCGCTGGCCGCCAATAGCAATAATAATTATTCCATTTTATATAAGCGTCATTCATGCAATTGCATCCCACAATGCTCATTTGTGCGTGCGATAAGAGGTCTGCAGTCCTTCATGTCGGTTTTATCACCATCCGTGAACAGAAGATGAGTTGACAAACACCACAAATAGACCCATCACAAGCCAAATTTGGTTTTTGTATTTAATTAGGTTAAGTTCCAGCACTGAAAATGCAATGAATATCAATGATATAATCATGCGATGAGCATGCTGCTCCGCACTCTGTGGACCAGAGGTCATTTGAAGTGATCTCAGAACTAAGTTTATGATATCCGCTTCAGGGGGCCATTCTCTAACACGAAGGGTTTCACGATCTCAGAACTAAGTTTGTTATATCCATTTCCGTGGATCGGTCTGTAACACGAAGGGTTCCACGATCTCAGAACTAAGTCTGTGGTATCCACTTTCGTGGGCCGGTTTCTAACACGAAGGGTTCCACTGCACTTCTAGAGAACCGAATGGATTGTCTCTGTCTCTCATAACGTTAACAAGGCAGCACAATCGGGGTACGTACAGCCCTCTGTCATGGGCTTCACAGTTTCCTGCCAAACCTCCTGAATTAAATGCTGGTACTTCTTTTTAACACCCCTCTATGTTTGTTGACGTTTTGTGTTTCAAATTTCATTCTTATGCAACCCAGGACTATATTGGCTCACTTCAGGTCTGTGTTGAATTATTTACTTTTCCCCGCTGATTTTTCTTGTAGCCGTTAACAAAATATATTTTTCAATACTTCAATTAATATTTGTAGTCGGGAATGCCAAACAAGCATCGTCCTCTTCAATATTGGCATTCACCTTTTGTGATTATTAATTGTTGCCATTGTCTTAACCGCTCTGTGCAAGATGTAATTTATATAAATGTTCACTTATCCAACCTTTTCGCTTAGCCGCCTATACCTCAGTCTCCAGCGAGTCGGATAGGCGACGTATTGTATTCTAAAACATCTGTGGCATGAAGTTTATCTATTTATTTCATTGTTTGGTTAAACTGCACTTAATATTTAACAACGATTCCTCAACCTCTGCAATATTTCACCAAATATCTCCGTTTGGAAACCAGTTCCAGTTTTTCTTTGAACCGTTCTCTGCTTAACAAATTAAATCCACTCCTCGTAGTTTCGGATAGTGTATTTCCAAGGCTGCCAAATGTCAAAGTCTAGGACTCGCATTGAATCATAGCCACAGACTGCTCAGCGGTGGACTCGGTTTGAATAATTCGGCTCACGTTCGCTTAATACGTAACACGCACAAGAACCTTGCTATTCTTTGGCAATATGTGATGGTCCATCATTCTCGTCATCGTCAGTCATTCTCTATCATCCACTGCTAGATGAAGGCGTCCCCATGTCGTCACCATCCGTCATGGTTCGGTGCCGCTATAACCATCCGTCTCTCTGCTGCACCGTGAACTGATTTCAATGCTCCATCTCCGCAGAGATCGTCCTGTTGGATGCGTTCCCTCCTTGTGGGTGCCGTTCCTTCCGCAGGCCATCGTCCCACCGAGCGATGTGTCTTGCCCAAGTCCATTCACTATTTGTTCATTGTCAATGTGTCTCTCACTTGTGCGTGTTCTCTGATGGTGCAAAGTTAATCCGTTTCCCTTACAATTTTCTCGAAATGGCATGGCAACACAGAGTGCACGATTTTGAAAGCTATGGGAGGGTGTATATTTTACTTTGCAGGTGAGTCACACTTTCGCTGACTTACGTGTAATTTTTGTTGCACCAAACCTCTGACAAATTTACCCTTATTCGAGTGAATCATTGCCACGTGTCGCGGAGAGCACATTGGGCTTGCAATACAGAGGTTCGCCGGTTCAATCTCCGGGCGTGGCGGTTGAAGCAACAGGCAGGTTTCCTAAATCCCCCCCCCCCCCCCACCGTTGTACACCGAGCGGCGTGAAGAGGTACAAAATGGTTATTCCATCGGCTGGTCGCATGTCGGTACTCTCATCTCTTCCAAGACATCTGAGCAGCGAGAAGAGTCGGCCAAAACACACCTGAGAAGGTCTCTCCCGAGCTCCCTTCTCGCGGAGTGAGCGTTTTAAGGGCTGCACCTTAACCATGCTCTTCTGTGTGCGCAATGTGTGGCCATGTGCTGGTCTGTGTGGTTGTGCGTGCGCGTAGCGAGGGTCAGCGCGCTGCGCTACGTCACCTAAGTTCGATTCCCACTCATGGACAACACTGGTGACGATGATGTGAACCGGTCGACTCAGCCTCAAATTAGTACCTGGTGTGGTGTAGACATGAGACTAAGGTGGTCGGACGTGATGCTGGCCACCCACCCCCTCGTGTGGTGTGTCGGCCTTCACAGGTGATCGCTAACAGCACGTACCAATCAGCGCAATGAAGTCAGACCCAGTGGGTGATTATAGTCTTCATTTCCCATTAAGCATGAATTCAAATTCATTTTAATTGCATGTCCACACTCCTGGGCATTGGGATTCATGTTACATGTCCATCATATGGCTGACTTGACACTTAATCAGATTGCCACGCCACAAAGCGGAATTCTCAATTCAAAGCCAGAAACGAGCAGCGTTTCCACTGCCCTGCCACTTGTACTTTGTGTGCTGACGGGTTACACAAAAGACCGCTCTAACGTGAAGAAAAAACACAAACTGGAATGAGTTCCTTTTTCTTTGGTTCTTTTGGTAAAGTCACGTAGGTATATAAAAAAACAAAGAATCACGACGTTTCGATCGCAACACTAGCGGTCATCCTCAGGCAAATGCTGGATTATTTTTTCCGCCTGAGGACGACGGCTTGTGCTTCCTCTGGAGAGGTTCCTGAGAGCTCCGTATATGTATGAATGTTGAACGTTATCCTAAAATTGTATTCATATTGGTTCATCCTTAGGCGAGTAAGGGTGGGTGCCCCTTCCCCCACCCCTTCCCCCCCAAATTGGTGACAGACGGACGGATCTAATACATAAAGTCTTTCAACCTGAGTTGGCAAGTGTTCATAATAATGCCCCTTACAGAGGGAATCCCCATTGCGTCCTGAGATTGCTTTAGGAGGGCTCCAGCATCGGGACGTTTACCCAATTCCATTAGCGAGCATTGGGCATGAGCGAGGAAACACGGAGAAAGCCCACCGCACACGCACGTAAGTCGACATGTATGTCGAGCTGCTTGCGCACCAAGCGTAGCCGACGGAGGTGCGGAGGGCGCTGGGACGGACGACAAACTGAACACCAAACGCAGTTGTTCTCCTGTCCAGCGGTGGGTCATCGCACGGCTGAAACTTCACCAACTCCTCCATCGTTCTCTCGTCCTCCCCCCCCCCGCGCCGCAACCCCCCACCCTTGATCGCCTGGCCCGCCCGCCACCTGCTGCACGCGCACCAGCAGGACAAGGGGGGCATGACGGAGGACGACAAGAGGAACTGCTGCGCCAAGGAGATCAAGGAGACGGAGGAGAAGTACGCGGCGACGCTCGAGAGCATCGAGAAGGTGCCGCTCGCCTGGTGGGGGGGAGGGGGGTGGGGGGAGGGGGGGTGGGGGGGAGGGGGGGTGGGGGGGAGGGGGGGTGGGGGGGGTTCTTAGAGCCCCCCCTCGCTCACACATTCACAACAAGTTGGGACCAGATCTGCTATCATCAACACACATGACACAAGCTCCTGTGTGTGTGATCCAAATTGAGTTATTTCCAGGTAGTTTCTCTGCACTGGAATACTCTGGCCAATGTGGTTTGCATAGCTAAAAACGCACACAATGTGGTTTGCATTGTGTGCGTTGTTAGCCATGTAAGGAGACCCGAGAACCTGGATGAAACTCGCACAGAGCAGGGGGCGAACACAAAAATAAAATATCACCCCGAGTCAAGAGTTGAACCCAGCCCCTACTTGCTCTGAGACGCAAGTGATAAAACTACGCCACATGTTCCGTATTTTATACGTACTTCTTTTGATCCTGTGATGCTGCACGGACATACAGGTAGTCCCCGACTTACGATGGAGATGCGTTACGACGACCCCATCGTAAGTCAGGGACTACCTGTATTTTTTACAGCGTAGGATTCCTTTCTAAAGTGCAGCTGATGACGGCGGCCGGTAAGCTTGCGTTTCTGACCATGTCCGTGGTCGCTGCGTCGCTGTGTTCACAGAACTACATGGGCCCACTGCGGCTGACCCTCACCCAGCTGGAAATGGAAACAATATTCATGAACATCGAGGTATTGTTCACGTCGCTCACGATGGATCACATTCTGTCATCGCGTCGGTTAAAGGTCCTTTGATTGTCATGTCTGATGCTCTCAGAAGTTCAGATGATTCACCTTCATTAACCTTGTCGCCCCCGTTATGAATCTCGCACCTCTATGCCTCATTTATTTTAAGCCGCTGACAATTGACGCATTTCACGAGCATCAATTAGGGTGAAATATAATCTCCAAAATTGAATGAAGGCAGCCCCTTACCCCCCCCCCCCCCCAGTCCTCTTAATGTTTGACTTAATTGCAACTCGAAATAAAACATGGGTACATAATTAATGACAGACATGCAGATGAATTGAAGTGTGGTTGTCATTTTGTTTTGAATGTATACGTTCACACACACACACGAGTGCACTTAACACAGACGTTGCGTTTTGCCCAATTTACATTTGTTTAATCTAATCTGCCCATCCACCGACCCATTGCTACTGCTCGGCGAACAGAGGTGCCGCCGGGGGGGGCGGATTTCAATAAACTTTTCCATTTCTCCGACGACCGTGCCAGAAGATCGAACCTGCGGCGTCCGGCTTACAAGTCTGGCGAGTTTAACCATTGCGCCACGGCAGGTGCACGAAGCCGTATTGACTTGTGCCGGCGATGACATTCCCGTTGAATTAAAAGCCTCTTGCGGCGTGTCCCCGATTTTTCCGCCCCTGCAGGAGCTGCACAGAGTGCACCGCGCGTTCGTGGCCGAAATCCGCCAGTCGTACTCGCTGTCGGGGGGACGGAAGTTCCACGAGCTCTTCCTCACCTTCAAGCCCAGGTACAACGACAATGGAAATAATCACGACGATGATGATGATTGATAGAGCATCCTTTCCACCGGGGCGTCTCAGAGCGCTTCACACGACGTCGCATCGCAACGGATTTCGCTGCACCTCCGATTTGCACGGTTGACTACGTACGGTGCGAAAGAAGTTTAACATGCATGCATATTCATGACAGGGCACCTCCCAGGTGGCATCTGTCAATGTGTGGCATACGACGACTCAGAACTCGCTCCCCCCTACTGGCACACATTAGTCTGCCAGTAGGGGGGAGTGATGATTGCTCATGTGTGCAATCGCAATTGATTTATTTTCTGGATTTATTTATTTATTTTGTGCTGCCACTTGTTCTGAGGAGAACATCGATGTTACCCTAGAGCCGGGAACCCAACTGTGTTGTCCGGTGGGTCACAAAATATAATTGGTGGTGTGCTGGCTCAAGCGCGGGAAATAATGTGTCACACTCACACGCCTCACGTGTCATACACACGCATCGCGTGTCACACGCGTCACGTGTCACGTGTCACACGCACACGCCTCGCGTGTCACACACGTCACGTGTCACGTGTCACACGCACACGCCTCGCGTGTCACACGCACACGCCTCGTGTGTCATACGCACACGCGTCGCGTGTCACACACGTTACGTGTCACGTGTCATACGCACACGCGTCGCGTGTCACACACGTCACGTGTCACGTGTCACACGCACACGCGTCGCGTGTCACACGCACACGCGTCGCCGTGTCACACGCATCACGTGTCACGTGTCACACGTACACGTGTCATAACGTCACACGTACACGTGCCATGACTTCACATGGTGCCGTGACGTCATTTCATCTGTACATATCACCACCGAACTGTAACCCTACTCTGTGGTGTAGTCCTTCAAAGTGTTATTCAAAGTGAGCAAAATCAGAATGTTCATTTCCTGAATCAGCTCAAAGTAGGTCGAGCGAAACGTCAGACATCATGCAGAACACATGAAAAAATCAGAATAGGGTTTACCCTTTTTGCCAATAAAACAGGTGCTAAGTTGTTCAAACACCAAATAGAAACCTTTTGCAAGGAATCAGGTCTGCATTAACCAGAACAATACGTGGTACAACCCGAAAATACATCGGGAAAGCTACTTAGTTCAGCTTACTTTCATCTCCCCGATGTCATATCTCTTGTTTAAGGCTATTTCAACTCTTCTCTCTTGTTTTTTCTCTTTCATCTCATTATTTTTTTCATTTCTTATCTACGGCTCACTCATTTCTAGCGTTCGTTCGTCTTTCTTTGATCTCACTAAGCTGTCTCTCCCCATGTGCCTGTGAACTGCTCCCTCGGCGACAAATGAGCCATAGTTCGCTGGGCCACTGTGGGCCACCAGGACGCCACGATGGCGATGTTAACCACCTCGCCTGGTGTACAGCAGATCGAGGATTCGATCCTGACCCAGATGCCTGCTATATATTTGGAGTTTGCATGGATTTTGCTCCGGGGGGGTTACGGCTTTTCCCTCCACATTTAGAAACATGCGTTCACGGTGTTTGGTCTGCTATAAATTTCCACGTGCTAATAAGCCACTTCATTGGGTTGTTATTTGTGGTCAGGTCGCGTGTGAAAAAGAGATATACAGCTCAGTGGGCCTTACCTGATGAAATAAATGTAGTTTAGTTTAGAGGTTTGAAAGACCCTGCCATCGAGTGGCGATGAGAGTGCTGGAGTATCTTGCATATTAGCCAAGAGGGAATGATGAGGGACAGACTGCACAGTGGACAGCTGCCCAGTAGCAGCAGCGAAAGCGCCACTCTTCCCTGTCTAATCTGCAATTTACCATTTTACAGATTTTGTTGACAATTACATTGCACTCCTTGCTGTCAGTGTCCGGGTTCAGAGATGACAAACATGTCACAGTGAAATTTACCACCACGAAGGGCATCTCATTATATCGGAAAATGGCCACCAGAAGATGCTGTCTGAGAGTCACTTAAAGAAGCACGTGTCATCCAACCCGGGCCATTACACCATCATATAAAATTAAGTCTGTGATAACCAAACATGAATTTTCGTTTGGAGGTCTCCATTCGTTGTCATTTTCAAGCTACGATTCGTCCACTGCTGGATCATGGCAGCCCCAGACTCTTGCCATACGCCGCAGCCTTACGCTGCAAAAGTCCATCTAGCTCCTACACACGAACTCATTCCATTGCCCCATTCTCACAGTCGACATCCCCTCGAGTGTGTTTTCCCTCCTTTGGCTGCCATTCCATCATTAGTCTTGACCACTGCCCCCATCCTCCAATCGAGTGGCACGAGCCGCCAAAGCCCACTGCTTCTTAAAACAGTCATTCCGAGGTCTCTAATTTGCATGTGTTTCTCAGAATCTGTGCATTTCTACTCCTATCACTGAGCACAATTTCAAGCGTGGACCCATGGTGCTGTATTATGAAACATGTTTGAAGTTGTGGGTTTAATGTGTGCGGTCACTGGGGACCGGGAACTCTCTGCACTTGGGAACTTGCATCCATCATGGGTGATTGCTAATATTTCAGAATCATAATCCCAGACTCATAATGGGCATGCTTCGACATGGCCATTATGAGCCTGTTGAAATGCAAAGTGGTGGATTGAGTGTTTAGGTTTTCACCTCTAGGAAACGTGAAATTAGCATATGAATTGGTTATGCAGAATATCAGCTTATTATCGGAGACCTTTTTTTTTGCGTCCAAGAGTTCCTTGACAATTGTATTTTATTAGGCACTATCATAGCCTGCGAATGTGCACTGAATACAAACTTTATTATTTTTTTCATCCATATGCCATAGCGGTGCTTTGACACGCGGAACAAAAGCTGAAAAGTGCACAAAGAAGCACAGAGAGATGCTTGCTTGGGATTACATTCAGAGGCAGACTGACTCGCACGTTTATTTTTCACGGAACAAACGCATGTTACAGTCACCATATTGACTGTCAAGAAGGGCTTGGTAAGGACACGACGCTGGAAGGGGTGATGGCCGATGGCAGAGACTAATAACGGAATGGCAGCTAAAGAGGGGTGGGAAGACATCCAAGATCAGATCGTGTTCAGGTACCAGACAGGTTGTTGCATCGTGGGACCGTGAGAGATGGGGACGGCTTGGGGAGGCCTTCATTCAGCAGTGGATAGATCATGGCGGATGATTACCTATTTTGTGAGGTCTATTGAATTATTCTGTTGGTGCCTTGCCTTAGGCTCGTGTTTGAGTGTAAAAACTCCCCCCACCTCCCCCTGTGCCAAATGGATCCTGTACAATCCTGATCCCTGAGCATTACCTCTTTGGAAATAAAACCGGGAAAAAGAAAATCCCTCGGCATGCAGCGTGGAACGAAAAAATATCATAACAAGCCAGAGAGGCCAGTCCATTAAGTGAGGCAGCTCCATTGTCACACTAATGGCCGCCGCGCTACGCTCTTTGTAACGTTTATACGTACATATGTACGTGTGTACACGCGTGTGTGAGTCGTGATTGTTATCTCAGTCTCAGCCCCGAGTTGTAAAAATAGAGCTTTGACAAGCAGTGCGCTCATTCTGTCCATGCCTCCGTGTCGTACACAGTAATGATGTCGTGTTGATTCCGAATGTGCGTAATCGTGCTGCGATCGCCATAATTGGTTATGCCCGAGACATTTCGATTCTCCTGAAACACCCTGGCGATATCTATTGCTATTCCTTGCTCTGTACTTCTACGCTCTCGCGTCTATGCTCCCCGCCTTGATCCAACCCCCACTGCCCGACGTTAAGTTTGACCAAATAACTGACAGGACCGAGGCCCTCGCCTAGGAGTGCATTGACAAAGGGTTGTATACGTACATTGCTTATTTAGGGTAAAGATACGCACGGTTTGTACGTGATTAAGCCAGTGTGGAACATTGACAAACAGATGTGTTCGTTGCAGGCTAAGTTTACTAGTACAAGGGTTAGCCAGTTACAAGGTACCAGTTAACTTATCCGCTGACACGCTCGGCTGGAAATCCTACCGGTTGCCAGGGGTTGTCGATTTGCTCACCAACAATTCCTGTGCTCCCCCGAGCGCACTCGCTCAGCGTACGAAATCCGTGACCTCTTTTTTGGTGGATTTAAAAAAAAGTCTTGACGACTATAAAAATGGTTGCCATGTTTCCAAAAAAATCAATACCATCCGCGCCGGTGTCTCGATGACATTTAAACCGTTTATGCCATTGACCTTACAATCTCACAAACACGGAGATGGAATCAAACAATTCTGTGATAACCCCTGTATTGTTTAGTCAGCAGTTGTTGCGACACCTGCAGTGATACGACTGGAGTTGAGGGCTATTCTATGAAACCAATCTCTCTGCAATTATTCTTGCCCGTCTTTTGTATTGTACGGCCTGGCTGATTACCGTGCTTTTGAGAGTCTTATTACAATTATTTTTTGCGCTGCAGCATTGTAATTTTGAAGATGCATGATTACTGAAGAGGTCCACTGAGGGGTTCTTGAGCCCTCTCGTGGGAATGTGCAAAACCATTTATAAGTCGAGAGATTTATTTGGTAGATTTGTATTTAGTAGATTTTCCCGCACCTCCGATTAGCGCGGTAGGCTACATACGGTTACGAAAAAAGTTCCACATATTTGCATTATCTTCGTTTGAACTTGAGATTGTATTGCTCTGTGGCGTTACTCCAGCCAGATTATGAATAGTTTAACGAAATGTTTATGTTGAGGTGGTGGCTGTGTGACTCTGAGGTCAGAGTGATGAGGCGGGCACCGCTGAGATCCTGTGGTTCCAATCCTCGTAGCCAGCATTGAGTAACTGGCCTCAAGTATCATGAATCGATGGTCTCAGGCTGGTCACTTGTGGACTGCACCAAAAAATTCCGTCGTGTTTAATTACATTCGGCACTTTATTTGGCAAAAAATAAATTCCGGCTCTGAGAATGAAAAATGTTGCTGCGAGTGATATTTAACAATCCCATTTAAAAAATGTGTGGGAGAACGCGCA